ACCAAATAAAGTTTACATTTCAGTCTTTAATTGTTTGCATTTCTGAAACAATGCGTTGAACACCGTAATTGTGATCCTTCCCAAAAACAGAGAGTAAACAGAGAGTTTCTTGAGTAAAAATAAATAAAAAAAATGAATTAGAATGAAAGAATAAATGTCACTGAAACTAATAAACATTTTATTCAAAAGATTCTTGGCATGGTAGCTTTTCTGCAATGTTTAACAGTCCATTAGGGACAACAGGTGGAAAGATGTATATGATTATGTGATGAAAAGCATCTGGTTCTTGAGAAGGATTTGGTGTACTTGTACACTGTCCCTATCAAATAAACTAATATTATGATAAACTAAATCCGTTGTAATACCAGTTTATACTTCAGAGATTTAACTTAACTTCAGTGCCTTACGGTGGGGTAAGTAAAAATGCTGGCTCAATTTACCCCACAGCATTTGGCTCGCTTTGCCCCATAGCTACCATTTTGGGGGGGTGGGATAGCTTGCTTACCAATTCAGGCTAATATTTAGCTAAATAATTTGCATGGTTGCTAAATCAACTATATGCATTTTAAATATTTTTAGACCTTCATCAATTTCTTTGAAAAGATTGAAAATCTGTTATGCTGAAATTATACCTTGACAAGCCAAAAACTGTTTTTAAAGTAATTGGGTGCCTTCCACTCCTCCCATGTGTTTCTTTTCTTCACAGTCTGGCAGAAATGATGGGTGCTTCCAAAATACATGGTCACATGACAGTAAAAGTGAACAGTTACCAAGATACAGGGGGTGGGTCAACTTACCCACTGGCTCATCTTACCCACTCTCCCCCTATGTATCATTAGGGAGAATGTCATTTGGATAAAAACAGTGAAAAAGCTTGAGACTGCACTGAATGAGAAGCAGTGATAAAAAGTACAAGAGTAATTTGTTTTAAATAACAACTCTTAAGCGTTTTGTTGCTGTACCCTGATATATATAGTATTTTTGTTTGCTTTTACATATCTATCCTCCTGAGAAACCTCCGTCCTCAGTATAGAGGACATTATATTTTATATTTTAAACTGTTTGTCATAAATCAACATCTCGGGAACATGTTACAGAACAGAACTGACAGAAAACTTCCCACATTCTTCAAAATAACTTCCTTCATATTCAGCAGAAGAAAGAAATGTATACAGGTTTGAACAACTTGCAGGTGAATAAATGATGACGGTCTTTTTGAGGGGAACTATCCCTTTACTGACCCAACACATATCATAATAATGTTTACAATTTTTACATCATAATAGTTATGCTAATTAATATATATTTTGGGCAAAAATTGTTTTATTTTTAAATTATTGTTTAATAGAAATATATTAGTTTTGGCTGAGTTTGGAATAACAGCAGCGTTCTACTCATTTGTCTTCATCATTTCAATCTTAAAGCAGCAGTCAGATGTAAAAGGGGTCATATGATGTTGCTAAAAAGAACATCATTTTGTGTATTTAGTGAAATGAAATGTGTTTATGCGGTTTAAGGTTCAAAAAACATATTATATTCCCACATACTGTACATTATTGTTTCTCCTCTATGCCCCGCCTTTCTGAAACACGTCGATTTTTACAAAGCTC